ACTGACACATGGCAGTTTTGTTATAATATCACCTTAAGCACTGCCCTACTTCAGAAAACAATCCCTCCACCTAAAGTTGGATTATACATAAGGCCGGTCAATAGTAATATCACTCTAAGCTGTGCCCTACATGAAAAGACAAATCCTCCATCTAAAGTAACATTTAGTACAACAGTTAAGGAGACCTCCAATGTGGACTGGCTCCCTGAACACAGATTGATCAAGGTGCATAATGCTACCATTCACAACAGTGGGTACTACAACTGTACTGCTAGCAATGATTATGGGAGTGTTACACTGTCGTACATACTGGATATTGGATGTAAGTCTAAATATTAATAATGATTGCATGTATCTAGATAAAACAGAATTTTAGAATTATTTTTTTACTTCTTGAAAAATTAACATAAAATTGCAACACCTCAGCTTTTGAGCACCTCTGATTGTAAAGTAGGTGTAAAAATAGTTAAAGCACAATAGCACATAAGACCTACATGCGTTGCAGTTATAAGGGTGATACTGTATACTGTAATAGGTAAATACTGAAATATCTTTCATTGACAGATCCTATGAATGAAACAGTACAAGGAAGCCTGAGCTACAGTCCAGGAATATTCACAACTAACTACACCTACCTCACTCCTCATGACAAAAGCATACCACGCTACTTAATTCACCTGCTTTATGCCTATCCTAGAGATGGCTTTTATAGTGTTGCTATTGAGAGAAGGTATTATAATACTAAACTACCTCCAACTGACAGTTTTAATGTGGCATTTTCAACTAAACCGATATATTTTTTCACGGCACAGGCTGTAACCAACAAATACACAAAAAACTGTTATGTTTTGTTGGTGGGAAAATGCTTCACTATTAATGAGGAAAATGAAATAGTATACCAGCAGATGTGCTAAAGGAATGGGTGACTATATACCAGGACCAATAGATAATATTATAATTATTATTGATAGGTTGTTATTATAATTAATAGTTTTTTGAAATAAATCTCAATGAAAATGTAAAAATGATAATTTCCATGGGTGATACTTTTTATACTGCTTTTGAATAGTATTGAAAATGAACTTGTATGAATTAACTTCAAATAAGTGTTACAAATAACTTCATAGTTATATTGTAGTGAAGAATATTGGCTCATGGTTAATGTTGTTACATTATAACTGATGCACACATGCGCAGTAGAACTATAATATAAATTAATATATCTCTCTCTCTCTCGTGTGTTTTTTTTGTCTTTGTTGTTCTTCTCCATTTGTCACTCTCTTTTGTTATCTTTGGCAATCTTGATAATTGATGATAATAAATTGTTGGTAGAATTAGTTAACTTCTACAATATCACCTCTCATGATACATATAATTTATAACAGCTAGAACAGTAAGCACAGTCCAAGGGTATTACATGTACATGATGTACTTAAAATAGTATGTCATTGCTTTCTTGTCTTTGGCCAAATTTTGCCAAAACTGAAAAGGGGAGAATATGTACTTATAATTATTGCATAGAAACTTTGCCAATCAAAAGTAGATTTTCTAAAAATTTTTTCAAAAATTGGGCCATACTCCCTGTACTGTATATATTATAGTTTTGCTAAAATTTTAAAGGAGAAAATTTTCCATTTAATTTTTTCTTACTACACATACATGTACGTATGTTGTGTAAAGTATTTGAGATAATTCGAATCAAAATTGGATTTTTACAAACTTTAAATAAGCTTTAAAAAATCTGATCAAAGCCTTTGTACTATAATACCAGTACATGGTCTTGTGCTCTAATAGCTGAAGTTTGGCAGACATCAAGCATAAATGTCATAACAGAAATGCACAAATGTCATTGGTTCATTAATTTGCCCTTTCCCACTCTCTCTCCTTTAATTGTCTCACTACAATCATTTATGGAATAACTTTTTATATAATTTTGATCTGCTAGAGAAGTCTTTATGCTGTATGCTTGCCTAATCTTGCTGCAAGAAAACTCATGACTTCTTCCCTTGCGTTAATTGGCCGCCATTTTAATTTACTAATATTTATTACAACAGCAAACAATATTTTTTTGGAAAGTACACAAATAGAAGTTAATAAGTAGATATACAAATCAGACCAGCTGATTATTATATGCACACAAACTCACACAATGCATATTATAACAGTTGCAATTATTATAGTACTGTCTTTAAGGCTTAGGTATACAAATCAGACCAGCTGATTATATATATACGCACACAAACTCACACAATGTACATTATAACAGTTGTAATTATTATAGTACTGTCTTTAAGGCTTGATAAGAACACTCTTAAAGGTGCTGGTAAAAGGGCACCTGGAACGATAAAGTTGACAATGGATTTCTTCATTCCTTGTAGCACCAGTACTGAGAGGCACCATAGCACACTCGCATCTAACTTTAGACTTGGCTAATTTAACAGACGCAGAATCACTCGATTGGATAGTCTCTCCCGAACGTGCCATCATTCTTAGGTTAGTAAGAGGAGAAAAAAATACAGTCTCATTTCCTAAAACTTCAATATGGCAGGCAAGATCCAAATTATAATAGCCCTAATAATAATAATAATAATAATAATAATAATAATAACAATTTTGCTTGTGTCTATGAAGATTGACATTGCTGTAAACGTACATGTAATAATACTCAGTTTACTCACATCTACAATGACATCATGATAGTCAGTTGTACAGCGAAAAATATCAATAGGCATAGAGCAGCTGGACAAGTACTCCTGGATACAGGAACTATAGACGTCCACATTCCTCAGGTCTGCTTCAATTTCCTCTTGTCCTGCAAGAGTTGAATTTATATCAGACACCACAAATGAAGACTGGTTGATCTGAGAGGAAGAAAAAATGAGAATTGAATTAAGTGTCATTATCATTATTACTGTTACGTACAATCTGAGTGATAGTAGCATTTAACTCATTAATCGCTTTTCTTGTTTTAGCTGACTCTCCCTATTACACATAATAAAAGAAGAATTGACATTAAGGATTAATTCAATTCAAAGGAAACATGAAGAAAACATGCATGTAATCAATGTTGTGGTTGGGTCTGGATGTGTGTCATCTAACTATTATTCAAAGTAAATTAAAATCGAAAGTATAGCTTATAGCTAGGAGTGATCATGAAATAAAATGGCAACTATCAGTTATTTTAACAAAAAGACAGTAGTCAGTAACTTACATCAATTTCTTCAAGTTTTGCTTTTACTGGAGACAAAGGGAGAAAGAGGGAGGGAGGGAGAGAGAGAGAGAGAGAGAGGAAAAGAGTACAATAATAATTAAAACAAAAACTACTCATTCTTGAGATTGCTAAGACAAAAAACAACATCAATACTACATCTATAGGTCGAAAAGTCATGCATGCAGCTATTCATTCCAATTGCTCAACATATTATGCCAAAGATAACAGAATGCTAGCCATAAGAAGAAAAGGGATCTAACAACACAGACTATATTATCTACTGTTTAACTAACTTGCTTCCATATTTGGTACAGATATAGCAAATGAAAAAACCAATACCGGTATTATCATCAATGATATGACAGCTATACAGCTGATCATAAAAACACAGTAGCATTTTACTCTCTTCCTTTCAGTACATCCAGTAGAGTCCTGATCATTGTACAACTTCATGTCTACCATAGTAGTCCTCCTACAGACTTGATGAGGAGTATCTTAAAAGAAAATAAAATATTAATATAGGAAAATTGTCTTATTCAATGGAGGCATATTGCTGTATGTCTCATTATTAGATGACATGTCAATATACTCCTCTGTTATTTGAAATAAAGTACAAGTAAATAATATCACACTATCAAAATTGTCTTACCAGCCTCCGGCAAAGTAGGACATTGTCTCTCAATTGTTATCTCTACATTTTCATACAAAGATGGATCTGGTGCCGACATCTCAATATACTCCTCTATTATTTGAAATAAAGTACAAGTAAATAATATCACACTATCAAAATTGTCTTACCGGCCTCAGGCAGTGGAGGACATTGTCTCTCAATTGTTATCTCTACATCATCATACAAAGGTGAATCTGGTGCTATATCAGCAAGATTAAAAATATTATTAGCATTATATAATATTATTAATATTGTCTTACCGGGCTCAGACAATGTCGACAATCTATCATAAATAGGATTATCAGCTTCTTTAATTAAAGATAAGTAGTATTACAAGTACATATCGCACTTACCTAAGGACTAGAGAGAGAGAGAGAGAGAGAGAGAGAGAGAGAGAGAGAGAGAGAGAGAAAGGGAGAGAGAGAGAGAGATTATGAAGCTGGAGCTTCTGTGTTCTGAGCTACAAGGGCGGTCTGTTATCTCAGGGTGCCCAATATTTGCCATCTCATCATGCACATTCATAAATGCTGGGGGTACATGTAAAACAGGCTAGGGCCCATCACCATTCCATTCCAAAAGGGATCACATGTAATTAGGCAAACAGCAAATAGACAGTATTCAAAGTCCAGGCCAGTTCCTTTGATTTCTTTTTCTTAGGCACTGGGTTTTGTGAATAAGTTTTCTGTGAATATTCCAAGGATCTGAACCTTTTAGGCACTGGATCTTCAGAGTATTTCACCTTATTGTTCTATCCTAGCTAACCATCCTGCCTATGTATGCATAGAAACAAGTTTGTGTTAAAGACAAGTATAGCTATTTAGACAAAACTTGGGGGTTAAAACAGTTTTAATACTTTCATCACCTTGCCTTAAGAAGTTGTGACCAATATCAATTGGCTTGTACAAAAACAACAATTTTTTGCCATGCACATTCTTTTTACAAAGCATAAGGAAATCAATATGCATCAGAAAATTACTTGTCAGAAACAATTCAAACTTTCTACATAGTATAAGTACATATAAATAAATAAATCATAACATCTAATAAAAATTTTGTGTGAATTCAGAGCTATTTTATGGAGAAAAACCATAGCCTTTGCTTTTTTTCAAAAAATGCCTTGTTTAAAAATGATTATAACTCAAAAATTGTTTGTTGGAAACAGCTCAAACTTTCTACAAGGGCATCAATGTGTATCAGAAAATATAATAATAATTTGAAGTGAATTTTGAGTCATTTTTTGAAAAACCATGTAGCCTTAATTTGCTTTTCTTCAAAAAATTGGCATGTTTTAAAAATTCTCAAAACTCATAAAAAATCGGAATCGGCTCAAAATTTCTACTAAGCATAAGGGCATCAATACGCATTTTAAAATGCAATAAAAATGAAGAATGATTTTCATAGCCATTTTTAGGGTTAGAGTATAGGGTATTTTTCAAAATTTTGGTATTTTTTTCAAATGGCCATAACTTGAAAAATTAAAGTCAATATTGGCTCAAGCTTTTGACATAGTATAAGGACATCAATATGCATAAAAAACGGGGGTGATTTTGGAGCCATTTTTGGAAAAAAAAACCATGGACTATAATAGTAAAGTTTATTTTTTCAGAATTTTCACATTTTCTTGAAATGGCCATAACTCAAAATATTAAAGATGGAATTGGCTCAAAATTTCTACATAGAGCTTATAAGGACATCAATATGCATCAAAAACTTTAATAAAAATTTGGTGTGATTTTGAAGGCATTTGGGGGGGGGAACAAAATTAAAATAAACAGACTCATGCAGCACTTTGTGGCTTGTACATGTGTGTGCTAATAACAGACTCAAATAGCATTATACAATGTACAACTATATTGCCAAACTCTCCTTATCCAGCCTGCCTTAAATGCTGTAGTGACCAATATGGCTTGTACAAAGACAAAAATTTTTGCACATTCAGTTCCACAGTATATTATGCATTGAAAAATGTAATAAAAGTTTGGAGTAAATTTGGAGCCATACTTTGGAAAAACCATGAGCTATATATAGCCTTGGGTATTTTTTAAAAATTGGCCCATTTTTAAAATGGTCATAACTCAAAAAATTGAAGTCGGAATCAGCTCAAATTTTCTACACAGCATAAGGACATCAATATGTATCAGAAAATGTAATAAAAATTTGGGGTAATTTTGGAGCCATTTTTTGGAAAAAACCATGGGCTATAGCCCATGGTTTTTTCCAAAAAATGGCTCCAAAATAAAAAATGACCTTAATTCAAAAATTTCTTATCAGAATCAACTCAAACTTTCATCATAGCATAAGGACATCAATATGCATCAGAAAATATAATAAAAAATTGGCGTAATTTCGAAGCCATTTTTGGAAAAAACCATTGGGTATTTTTCAGAATTTTCACATTTAATGGTTGTAACTTGAAAAATTGAAGTCAGGATCAGCTCAAACTTTCTACACAGCATAAGGACATCAATATGTATCAGAAAATGCAATAAAAATTAGGGGTAGTTTTCGAGCCATTTTTGGAAAAAACCATGGGCTATGACATGTGTGCTAAAAATAGATTTACATAGCATTATACAATGTACAGCTATATTGGTGAAGAGAGGAGAAGGGTACAACAACAAGCAGTGTGTGTATGAAAGTGTGTTTGTGATAAACACAAGGCAATGAACTACATGTAGGAGTTACATTGAACATATTTTAATACTTGATTGTTAATTAAGTTACTTCTATGAAAAGATTACATGGGCATACCACTACTAGTTTCCATTGTATTTCATAGTACCCATTCTACCCACTAAAATAAACTAAACATGTCCTCTGGATATTAATTATTTATTATCAATTAAGGCTGAATTTAGGTTTGGCACTTGATGAATTAACATACATGCATGGTTCAATTTATGTAGAAAACTGATAGGGAGTTTGAAGGGGCAGTATTTATAGGTAACATAATGGTCAAACAGGAGAGAGAGGGGAGAGAGAGAGAGGGGGGGAGAGGGAGAATAACATAACAGCAAAGTAATAGAATACTAACAAACGCTCCAACATCATGACATATATCCAGGGCACTTGTTTAATGCCATACATATAGCAAACAAGACAAAGGAATGGGGAGAAGAGAGATAGAGCATACCAGTACACAATATCACAAATGTAAGCCCCACATTGGGCCCCTTTTAGGAAAAATGAATTTATAAAATAATAACTAAAAAGCAACACCATTATAACACTACACAATTCCATCAGAGTTCATTAAATTTTGGGGGGTCTAGGGAAATTGAACTTTAAGCCTGGAATTTTTAGGGGGAAAATTAGGCCTCATATATAACACCATAATACTATGACACATGCATATACCAGTACATGCAGGGGGTGTTGTTAGTGGGTGCATTGACCAAGATGCAATAATTTGTCAATAAAATAATAGCAAGTGTGCCCATTATGCTAGCAGCCTGCACCCACAACTTTCTGATGCTGATGATGTGGCCACTGTGTACATGTACAAAAGGAGGTAATGCTGTAAAATGGAGAATCCAAACTGGTCATTACAATTATAACTATCACATTAAAAACATGCAAAGTACTTTTACACTACATCATATTTATAAGTGACATTATTACATTTAGTGGAAGTGTATATCTATTTCTTACATGCAGTTCAATTTCTGTAGATGCTTCATTTTCTTCTTCCCTTTGAGACATGATCAGCAATCTACGCGTATCCACTCCAACTCTCCAAGTATAATTACCGCCGGTATACTAAATTTCTCAGTTGTCTGCTAATTAAATAGATGGCTCACAGGAAGGAAGTACTTGTAATGCCCACGCAAACAAGCCTGATAAAAGGACCTGAGGTGTTGTTATTGGATTTGCCACACTTGCGTAGGCTGGTAGTAAGTAGCAGGCACTAAGCAGTTGGGTTGTCATTGTCCTTGCCCACACCCTAGGCGTATAGGTGAGGGTACTGCAATTGTTGTGACAGTGTGTGTCTGTGTCTGTGTCTGTTAGCAAAAATTTTAATCATGGATGATTTTTTGGCTGATGCTACTTTTTAGTCAAGCTCCTCAGAGTATTTCTTTTGCCAATAAAGTACAAAAAGATTTTTTTCTATAATTAACTCTTTTGTTCTTTTCCAAGGTGGCAAAAGTTGGCAGCGTTTAAGAACAGAAAAAGATTGCATGCAACTTGTGCATAGTTAAAGCTATGGTACCTTTGAAGGCAACAACAGGTAAAGGAAAACTTGGAAAACAAAAAATATGTGTGGAATTGCTTGACTTTCCTTCATTTGTGAGATATGACAGCAAAATTCTTGGACCAGCCACCAGCACCAGACTAATCTTGATGCTGATGTGCACCAATAGAATAAAAAGAAATATATAAATTCCAGTAGCAGTATTGTCAATTATCTCTTCAATTTTAGCAAAAATAATCTAACTTGAGAGCATTTTTGGATATAATAGTACAGGGACTTTGACCTACTTTTTGAGCAACTTTAAAATTTATTTTAAAATCTAATTTGATTAAAATCAACTCAAACTTTCTAAACAACATAAGTATCTACATGTATATGTATCAGGGAAAAATATTTAATCGGAACTTCTCTTTTTGTACTACATGACCAGATTTGTGAGCAACTTAAAGAATCCAATTTTGATCAGAATCAGCTTAAATTTCTACACGACATATGAGCATGTATCAGATAAAAGTATCAATTCTGTAGCCACCAAGTGCTCACATTAGCTCCTTGAGGTGTAAAACTCTACAGATCACAAAGTGCAAAACATAGCAGTAGCCCTTGTGCTCTGATCATGCAAGACTTAATCACATGATCATCACATGCTTCCTGAATTTGGTTGAAGAAGAAAAGCTTTATCTGGCATCATCCAGTTTTCTTCAATAGCTGATTTCTAAATTGTTGTACTTGAGTAGTTCTAGTCCCTCTGTTCTTTATCAATGGAGCCTAAATCCTGTTTGATATTTGTGATTGCATTATGTGCAGTAACTGCTGTCTCTTGCAGTAAAAATAAAAGTAAGTTATCGCAAAGCTCTACATCAGTACAATAGATAATGACTGTTAGATATAGATAGCACTAAATTCATTGTATGTCAACATAATTTCCATTTTTAAAGTTATATTTGTTTGTGTAGGAGAGGAATGGCAGTTGCTTATTCCTGATGGTAAAATAACCTCCTCACCCTCTGACAGTGCTGTTAAAATAGGAGAAAAGCTGACCGTATTTTGTGCCTATCCTTCTTACATCCTACCACACATGCAGAAAAAACCTCGCATCTGTCATGATGAGTTTAAGAATGGTAGAAAGGTTGGAACTGTCTGCCACAGGATTAAGAGCACAACTGAATCAAACTCAGGTGAACTAATCAACTTTCTTTACCATTACACTCCATCCCATCGTGGTGAACATGGCCTCAGATTCACCTGCTCCAATCTTGCTGGCTCTGTAGAACTCAATCTACTATGTAAGTTTAAAAACGATTCTCTGGTTCTATCATTAATTATAATCT